CAATGTAGATATTGATTAAAGCAGGAATCATTAATGTTCATTTTTAATAATGGGTGAAAATTGTTTGGATATAGGATCATCGCAGTTTCCAAGTATCAATGTCAGATTATTTGCTAAGAAAAAAATGGCGTACTTTCTGTGAGAAAATTTAATGGATGCCATCTTAAGTAATCAAACTTTATCAGTTTGGGATAAATTGACTTTTTATTTTACTTTTGATGTGATGGAAGAACTCGAGGATACAATATCAACTATCTTGTATTTAAGATTTCTTAAAAATCTTGAATTTAATGAGTGAATAATCAGGTATATTCAAATTGTGGAATATTCTATCAAACAGCCACCCTAGATTCTTAAAAAATACCATAGTCATGAAGAGCACCCCCCACCACCAGCACAAAACAACAAACACAAACCCACACCTTCCCTTCTAGGGAGGCTGAGGGGATCCAAAAGGCAAGTGAACTGTAGGAGCATAAAGAAACGAAACAAAGCAACGCGTACTATTTGATTTCTATGTAATTCTCATGTGCAGCTTTCATCTGGGGATTTCTTTCCTTTCTGTCCGAGTTCCTTCTTGAAGTGGGGGGGTCTTTTCTCTTCTGAGGTCCTATAACCCATATCAGGACCTATTCTGTCCATCTAGAGGACTGTTCTACTTCCTGAAATATCTTCTGTTTTCTTTTTACCTTGGACTTTTCTTTGAGGAAACAAAGGCCTTGCTGTTAATTGTAGGTGTTTTGTGATTGGTTTTAAAGAAGACCCCCACTCCCCATCATATCTTCTCTTTGATCCATGAGAGATTTCTGATTAGTACCGCTATATTAGGAATAAGACATTTCCTAAGAAATACTTTTCTTTTCCCTTCTTTTTATTTTTCCTTTCCCATAAGTATAGTCTATGAAATTTTAATTCAAGAAGTTAGGGTGAGAAAACCACGTAAGATTCTTTATTATACGGCTTGCCCCTGTTGCATCGATAGGACGTCACTTTATCAGTTTTTAAGTTACCAGGTTGTGCTATCATGTGTGGCATGGATTTTGCTTGAAAAGTAAGGTTATTTATCATGTCTTGAGTAGGTAAACATGACATTATCAGTTGGTCAAAAAAGATAATTCTTTTTAACCCGGAATCCATAACTAAATGGAAGATCTCCTAAGCGCCTAGAATCTTCCTTCATTCATCCCCTTATCTTCCACATCCAAACTGTCGCTAACTCTAGTCTTTGTCTTTCTCTCTATCTCTGTTGCTAGCTGGACTGCTGCAAAGGCTTCCTCATCAGCTCCTTGTTTCTACCTTTGCTGTTTCACACTTCATTCATTGCACAGCAGCCAAAGTGATCTTTTAAAATGCTGTATTAGGTACTTCCCTTTCCTGTATCACACCTTCCAACTTGTTCCTTCTGTCTAGACTCATCCCCCCTCATTGATTTTCAGAGTGCTCTCTCTATCTCGTCATTAGGTTCTCAGTTTAAATACCAGTTTTCTCAGAGAAGCATTTTCTTTCTTTTTTTTTTTTTTTTTGAGACGGAGTCTCGCTCTGTCACCCAGGCTGGAGTGCAGTGGCTGGATCTCAGCTCACTGCAAGCTCCGCCTCCCAGGTTTATGCCATTCTCCTGCCTCAGCCTCCGGAGTAGCTGGGACTACAGGCGCCCGCCAAGTCACCCGGCTAGTTTTTTTAATATTTTTTAGTAGAGACGGGGTTTCACCGTGTTAGCCAGGATGGTCTCGATCTCCTGACCTCGTGATCCGCCCGTCTGGGCCTCCCAAAGTGCTGGGATTACAGGCTTGAGCCACCGCGCCTGGCCTTAGAGAAGCATTTTCAAAGAGCAGTAACCCTATCACTCAGTTACATTTATTCCCTCCGTGTTGTTTTATTGTAGCAGTCATCACTATCTTACATTGTACATAAGACATACATGCACTTATTATTTATATTAATATATGTACATACATACATACATAAATACTGCAGCCTTGACTTCCTGGACCCAAGCGTTCCCTCCAGCTCAGCCTCCCAAGTAGCCGGAATTAGAGGTGTGAGCCACTCCACCTGAGTCCCGCATATATTTAGATGCGTGTATGTTTGTGTATCATTGTCTGCTAGATAGCAGGAAGTTTTCTGAACTGCTGGTCTTCGTAGCCTGCAGAGAGCCAGATAAGCCTGATAGTGTATATTCAGTAAACATTTTTTAAGCTGTGAATACAAATTTGATAGTAGAGTTAGAAAGAAGACTGCTTGCTTTGTGGTAGAAAGTAAGATACACTGGTAGCTGGGAGGTGAGGGACCCAGAGAAGATATCTTCTCCTGCACTTAAACGTGCCCTTGAAAACTGAGTCCAGAAAGTGGGAATGGAAACTTTGTAGTACTTTGCTAACCTAAGTTTCTGTATTTTCTCATATAGTACTTAGTAAATTTCTTTTTGGAAGTGTTAGTGCCTCTTTTATTGTGCAGAAGGGAATAAGGAGTGGAGACTATCTCTGTGTTGGAGGTGCAGTGTCAGTAGGGGAGTCGCTTCTGTGTCTGGGGTGAGATAAGGTAGTAGCAGTAAGCATCCAATGGGAGGACCTGGAAGGTGAGGAAAAACTTGGGAAGAGCACTAGAGCTTGATTTTTGTTTTTTTTAAAGCAATCTCTTCTACTAGGACATTCACCTCCTTTTAAGGAGGTGTATTAGTCTGTTCTCACACTGCTAATACATACCCGAGACTGGGTAGTGTATAAAGAAAAAGAGGTTTAATGGGCTCACAGTTCCACATGGCTGGGGAGGCCTTCACAAATTCACAAGTCAAAATTCAGAAATCACTGTGTAGTCCAGGGTCCACAGTAAATGACTAAAATAAGATTAGTAACTGGAACCAGAAAAACTGCAAATTTCCTAATCCTCAGAGGGAACTGAATGTAGTGGAGATGTGGGCTATCTCTCAGCTCTAGTGGTTTCCTGTTACATGGATAAATGGTTTGTGATGATACATTGATAAAATATTATTTTGAGAGGATGGGGGTAAGGATCTATTAAGTTGTTGTAAACAGGATTTTGCAGGTATACCAGTTTCAAATTTTTAGATTGGGCCTTTTCACTCCCCTAAAACAGGCTAATTCTTCTCTACTGATTTCATTCTGATTATTTTATGCTTATTATTGTGAATGAGACAAATACCATTCTTGCCACTCTCATGCAGGATTAAAACTCATGCATAATCTCGTGCAGAATCAAGAATCAAAGCGTGCACAATCTTCCATACTTTGTACCCATCTATGTTTTCTATTGTGTTTTCTTTCCCCTACCATCCTGCAGATAACTCTGTACTTCAACTGAATTGTTTTATTCATTCCTTAAACTTGTCCTATAATCTCCACCTCTGTTTTCCCCACTATTCCTGCCTGAAATGTTCAAGTCCTGCTCATTCTTCTTAGCATGATTTATATAGCCCTTTCTTTGTTTTCTTTTTTTGGAAATGGAGTCTCGCTCTGTCGCCAGGCTGGAGTGCAATGGCGCAATCTTGGCTCACTGCAATCTCTGCCTCCCAGGTTTGAGCGATTCTCCTGCCTCAGCCTCCTGAGTAACTGGGACTACAGATGCACACCACCACACCCAGCTAAGTTTTGTATTTTTAGTAGAGATGGGGTTTCACCATGTTAGCCAGGATGGTCTTAATCTCCTGATCTCGTGATTCGCCCGCCTCAGCCTCTCAAAGTGCTGGGATTACAGACATGAGCCACTGTGTCCAGCCTAGATGGCCCTTCTGATAATACACTTTTCTTAATTATTTTTCTGTCTACTCTCTATGATCCTTTCTGTTTTGAATAGCCAGTGATAGAATTATTTGGGTCCTTTGCCTCTCTCTTCCTGGATTCGAAGGCTCCCAATGTAAGAGCATATTATCTTTCTTCTCAGTGCACTGAACATTGTTTCAAAAATACCAGCCCATATAAACATCATGAACATATAAAAATTTTAAATTAAATTAATTGTAAAACACTTAGGAAGCAGGTGCCATTTTAACTAAGTTGAAGTTAAGAGTGATGTTTTGTGGTTTGGGGTTCAAAAGGTCTGTGACATTTGGCTTTTGCTTCCCTTTGCCTCTAAGGGTCCTATAGCTTGAGTTGAGTGCTGTTAGAGCATCACAGGCCAGGAAGGATCGATAAGGCTCACTGAGCTCTTTTTTCTTTAGAAAAGATCATAAACAAATGGTCCCAAACATAGGAGTATCTCTACCTTGTTTTTAGAAAACATCTAAAGGGGACGTTTACACTTTTCTTGATAAATCGTTATAAATGACTCTTGCTGTCAAAAATTTTACTGTATAATAACTAAATACTTAATCATGTAACTGATGACAATTTTATGAGTTTAAAACTTTAGCTGGAAGTGTCCTTTGTTTTGACCTTTGTATTTTCATAACACCCTGTTGAATGTATGGAACAGTGGAATAGCTTCTCCATTGATACCAGTGAGCCCTGGAGCTTCTGCACCAGCCCATAGTATCATAGCCATGTTTGGATTTTCCCCAATACCATCATGTCAGTTCTTGCTGATAAAAGCTGTAGGGGTTCTCTGTGACTCTTCAGATGAAAATACCTGAAGTACTTGAAAATCGCCATTTTTGAAAAAAGGGAATTTAGTTTGTTATGCATGCACACCTCAGTTTTGGACATGTTTGTTGGTGCTATGTAAGTTGCTTCTTATCTCTTTGGTTACTTAATACTGTACTTCTGTTTTTGGACTCCACTGTTAATTTATGTATGTTTTCTTAGCTTTTATTACTGGGGAAAATGTTATGTTTGTTGGTACAAGTACCCTTTTTTCTTTTATAGTGGTCACACTCTCATTTTTTAAATACATTATTACATTGGTATTATTTTCCTGACTCTAAAGAAAGGAACTTTTAAATAAATTAATTATTGTCTTCTGCGTTATTGAACATGTGGTCAGTTGTCATGTTCATACATCCCTATGATCAAAGTCTGAACTTCTGTCTAATTCTTCCCTGCTGTTAGGCTACCCTGTCATGATCAAGGCCTCAGCAGGTGGTGGTGGGAAAGGCATGCGCATCGCTTGGGATGATGAAGAGACCAGGTGAGAGGCTGTCCAAAATATACTTTTGATGAAAACTGCAGTTACTAGAGTTTTATTAGACTGACAGGTAAACAGATACCAAAAGCATAATGGAGTAATTATAGTAACCATCTAATTTTTACACTTTTGAATGGAAAAAAGATTGAAATTATGTGGAAACCTTCCTTATTTATATTTTGATGATGATTATCTTATTATAGAAAGGGTTTTACTATTTTAAACATTAACAAAGGATTTTCTTTTTGTTTTTACAGTATATTTTTAAAAATTGCAGTCATGATTCTATTTTCTGGGCAGAAATTACTAAGATTTGGCTATATAATTCTAAATGTCATCTAAAGATTTAAACCAACTATATTTAAAAGCAGTTATAATTTCACTGAGACTTAATGTATTACCTCAGTATGTACTTGCTTTCCTTTGCTAGTGCATAAAAGTAGTGAATTACCTTGATAATTTTAGAGTGTGAAATATATTCTTTTTCCTTGAGTTTGAAATTACTGTGTCCTTTATATGGAATGCACTCTTACTGTAATTTAGAATACTTTTTATGACCCAGTCTCAGAAGTTACACAGGTTTCCCTCCAGTGAACACAGCTTCTACTCAGATTCAAGGGGAGGGGACTGAGTCTCCATGTCTTCATGAGAGAGTGGGCGAGATTCTTAGAAGAGCACGTGGAATGGGAGACACTGTTGTGGCCATCTTTGGAAAAGGCAATCTGCCACAGCCCATTTTGTGGGAAAGAATGGTATCATAAAGAAGTCGAACACAATGGTTTTGCAAGAAATGTGTATTTTGTGGACTTCAAATTTTTTTCTCATTGTTTTTCTATTTTGCACAGTACTTACATAGCAATTTCACTGAATGCTTAGTGCTTATTTTTCATTATTCATCTTAGGATCTCAGGTTTCTTATTAGTCATTTCCCCAGGGCTACTGTTAGTAATATACTCTTTTATGGTGCAGATTACTCTTTATAGTTTCCTAGAAGTGAGGTTTGCTGTGCTGCTGTTGATTTATAAATTTTAATTTAAGAGCTTAATATTTTGAGAAATCACCATATCCATTCATATATTAGGCATCATTGTGTAAATAATTTAGCTCTTTCTTGGCGAATAAATAGCACATTGATTCAAAATATGTTTATAAAATTAATAAAAATCCATGAATAATTTTCTACTTAAAATATTACTCTCTTCAACTTGAGAAATAAACTATCTCAGAAAACTTGAGATCCACACAGGCGTGACTATTAGATTTAATAGTACAAGCTCCTCATTTTAAAAAGTTGCTTTATATCCCTTATTTATTTTGGAAAGTCAAAACTACCTGAAAAGGGAAAGAACAGTACTGCAAACATGCCTGTGCTTGTCTTTTGGAGCCACTAACCGTGAACACCATGCCACAACTTATCCACCCCTTCTTTTCCTCTCTCCCTCTGGAGAAAGTAATTGGTTTTTACATAATCCACAAAGACTTTATTTTTCAGGTACAAAGGAAAATTTAGTGCTTAATTGCTTTATTCCTTTATCCTAAGGGCTGTCTTTTTCTTGTAACATCTTTCCTATTTTTTTTTTGCGGGGTTGGGGGAAAGTAGCATCTATGACTTGTCTTAGAATCTGTAGGACATCTGAAAGATTTTTTAAAAACTGTAATTTTTTTTTTTTTTTTTTTT